ATATGGTATTTTATCAAACCATTGTATTGTAAAATATCAGGGGCGGAGGCATGTAGGGGCAAGGGTGGTTGGTGGCCCGCCTAAAATTTTATAACTTTTTTTTTCACGTAGCTTCATGTAAAGAACACGTAAGTTGGATCACCCAGCAGATTAAGGTGCAGGATATTGCCTGAAATTCTTGGAATTTTTTAGTTACAGCTGGAGAAGAAACCCCAAATCTAAATACTTCAGGCAACTCCATTCTGTGATGCTAGATGAAAATTTTCCACTTGGGAAGAAACTGTTGAATTCTTCATATGAAATTTGTGGTTCAATTGATATTCATTTTGGATTTTATACCCACAGCTTGTCAATTGGAATTTCTATTCTAGGAGTTGTGATTTTGGGATTGAGAAATTTGTTGGTGTGATTTTGGTGACTTGGACATTGATTTTGGGATTGAGAAATTTATATATATATAGCACAAATTACTTTATTAATGTTATCTTTTCATCTTGATTTTAGGGAACTTTATATAGAAAATTGATTTCAATTTTTTGTTGAATCCTATTGCATTATCATATATAAAGAGTGCGGAAGCCTATTGATTATCTCTAATAAACTTGAGTTGGTACTACTGATATTAGTTGATTTATTTAATGGCTCTCTTACTTAATGATGGAAGTGTTCGACTTGTTTATTAAAACTACGTTAAATTTATAAATTTTATTGAAATTTTTTATTTACATAATATTTGATTCAATGTTAAAAGTTATGAAGAGATACTTTAAAAAGGAAAGCTTCGGTTTCCATTGAAAGTCAAAATATTGATAGAAAGAAATCTAGCAATGTCAATGTGGTTGCTCAAGATGAAAAGAAATATCCAAGTTCAAAGTGATATTGAGCATGAAAGAAATAATCAGGGTTAAAGTGATATTAGCCATGAAACTAATGTTATATGGGATGTTATTCGAGAACAATTATAGTAATGTAGTGATACTTGTACCTTTATAATATTTGTAATTTTTTACTATATAATTTTTTCCCATACAAATAAAATATTTCGGCTCTGCCACTGTTGTAAATGATTTGATTTGAAAATACGGTGAAAATTGATCAAGTGGAACTGATTACATTCTACTTTAGCATTCTATATAAACCAAGCTATTTTTTTATTTATTTAAATAAATCAGGTAAACTACTAGCATTTTTAAACGGATAGATAATATAAAAAAAAATATAGTAAATCTTATTGGTTTATTTTGAAAGTAATGTTAGCATATTAATATTGTATAAAGTTGTGCACTCTTGTCTCTTGTATTTGAATCATCTTTTTCGATAATAATTTTATTATATGCAATAGGAGGCGAGGTAGGAAATCCATCTTAAATAGGAGACCATGAAGTTAACTCAGGAAGAACTTTGCAATCCATATGATTTTTCATAGTTCTTGGACGCATAAAGAAATATGTACCATTTCAGATATCTTTGAAAGTATGAACCAATATATATAAGCAGTAATAAAGAATATAAGTAATGAGGTTTTCCTTTCAATCATGTAGCATGACAATGCTTTGAGGAATTCAATATTATGGTTAAGAAGGATTCCTCGTTAGTTGATGTTCTAGAGGAACAGGGAATACTCTATGAAAGAATTCACTAGAGAATATCTAAGACCGACTTTTGTCAAGTGTTGAACATGCTTGTAGGGTTAGGAGTCTTTGACAGGATCCATCTTTCGATTTCATTGTAGTACAATGTACCCTTAATTGGATTAGTTGTGACCAAAAAGTGCAATATCTTTCAATAATGCATATCTAGATATGTCTCTTATGTTGGTATTTGAGTGTTTTAGGATAAAAATACAAATAAATTTCACTTGCATAAACGTTTTGTTTACATTTAAATGCAAAATCTTGAATTTCAAAACATTGAGCATGTGCCGAATTTTCAAAGATCTAAACACATGTCATAATTATAAAAGTATTTACGAGATGACAAAAATTATTTTGCTTGAAAGAAATCAAATCATTGAGGTCTTCGTATAAAGTCGTACCAGTATAGGTCATATTTCATTAGCGACATGCTGTTAGATTTTGCAAAATATTAGCCCTTTCATTGATGATGTATGTCTAGACGAGGCTAAGTCTTAAACCTTTGTTGCATTATCCATATGGGAAAAATCATTTTTCTTTTACTGCATTATAAACAAGAGTGTTATATTTGATTTCGTTTGTACGTTCTCATACTATTTGTTAAAAGTGTTGTTTTTATTTGTTTTGATTTGTAGATGACTATGTCACACCATTTTAACATTCCGGAAGCAGAACGTGTTCCGACCTATGTCTCACAGGTCAGCAACACAAAAAACATATCAGTTATCCTTAACAAATTGGATCCACAACAAAAGCGTATGTTTGAGGACAGTTGTATAGGACATGTGGCAAGGTTATCGGAGCTGAAACTATCCGCTCAATTAATTCATGAAATGGTAAATAGAACGGTGGTATGCAAAAAGTAGTTTGAGGCTTGGTTCAAGGTAAACCAAAGGTTCGCACGATTTGGATTGTCGGAATTCACATTAATCACCGGCTTGAAGTGCGGTAAAGTGCCTAAAGATACCGAAGTTGACAAAATCCTAGAAAAAATCCATCTACAGGACAGAATATTTGCTAATATGGAC